TGAAGAGTGCCACTCTGTTTAGTGTAATTATTCCAAATGCCTGTGGTGTCCAGCTGTAAAGGGTATTCTATACATAGAGGCATCCTCGGTAATTTTTCTAACCTGTCTTCCATTTTTCATTCTAGTTAACTTCCAGAGTAGCATTCATATAATTCCTGTGAGCGGTGAGTGATTCTTTGTTCGCTGGCAAAGGCCCTTCAATAACATCAGACCAACATGCCTGTTTGCCTGGACCTGCTCAGTTATGACAAAAGTCACATTCCTGAATCCTACCAAGATACACTGTCCAGGTTTTGGCTGTATCAGTAACAGAGGGATGAAGCTTTCATGTGGCCGAGGGATTTTGATTTCCAGATCAGAGTAATATTTTGAAGATGCTTTCACTAAGGCCATCTAGCCTTCCAAAACAACACTTCCTCCAATACCTGTGAACAAAATGTGCAATTGCCTTTTTAAGGCATAATATGCAATTTCTTTCTTGCTGATCGGCAGTTCTGCCAGTTAACAAGATGATAGCATCAAAATCAATACCTTACTTTGTCCATCAGACTCTCTGACTTCTACCTCCCCAAGAACCAATATCATACCCTCAATTACTACAGCAAATAGCTGAATTAATGGACATGAGGGGAATAGTGCTGCTGTATGTGGTTTACAGAGGTGTCTTTAAGCAGTAAAGCACAACAAGATGTACTAACCAGTGAAAATAGGGCAGATCTTTTCCCAGCATGTAATTCCACCTTCAGAGGTATACTGTCCTAGCACCACCTCCAGGAAAAACACGGGAAGACCTCCTCCAAACAGGAAAATGAAATAAGGTATAAGGAATGCACCTGTTGAGAAAATATAACAGTACAAAATTGAGATGAAGTGAATGAACATACATAAGATTGTCTAAAAAGAGGTAACAGGCATATATAAACAAAGAAACATATTTAATACTTTAATATCAGTATAAAATAATCTTATTCTGGAGTATTTTTGCTCATATTCTCTGCAAGAGGAATGGATATTTTCTTACCTTTTCAAAGTGAAAATCTGCAGTAACAATGGGGTTAGGCACACAACAGTTTCATGTGGCTCAGAATGCTCTTGTTCTGAAATCCACTGGTCTGAAATCCTACTGGTCTATATTAATAGCATATCTTTTGGTTAAGACTCAGACTCAATTGTAGCAGAAGTAAAAGAGCAGAAAAGGTTCAGTAGAATAAAATTTTAAATTGCTATTGTTTTTTCCTAATATAGTTTCCACAAAAACTATTAAGCAATAAAACAATCTTTCTGAAGACTGGTGAAGAAGGCAGAACACGGATGTGTGAATTTTGTTTTTAAAAATTGGATAAAGGCACTGAAAAATAGTAAGCATAAGGCAGACAGATTGATTCACGAGTACAAAATAAAGAAATACTCACCTCCGCCATTTTTGTAGCAGAGATACGGAAACCGCCAGACATTGCCTAAACCAATAAATCCACCAGCCACGGACAGCAGAAAGTCAATCTTGCTCGCCCACTTCTCCCGCTGGGGCGGCTTTCCTTCTGCCTCATCCTCAGGCCGTGTCCCCGGGCTCTTGCCAGGGGAAGGTTTGAGGATGTCCTTGTGGAAATCTTTCAAGCACTGAAGCTTTTCCTTTGTTGCCATATTTCTGCTTTCTACATTAAAAAAAAAAACACAAAACCTTGGGTTTATTTAACAGTCTTTACTGGTAGAGATCTCTAACACTGCAAGAACTGTTTTATCAAACTCATTCCATAAAAAACAGTGCTGTTTATCAAGCTGAGATATAAAAATACATCTGCTGCCTTCACTGACCAGGAGAGACAAACCACTGCTGGGCTCCGAGGTCACCTCTTGCAATGTAGGAGATAGCAAAGGTTTGACACGGCTGCCTACCTGTTGGCTGCAGACAAAAGGTGTATAAAGACTGCACACTGCATTGGCATCAGCACATGGTGTTACTGAGCAAGTGTGTCATGCTGTTTCCATGCCCATAGTAAGGTACAAATCACTGTATTTGATTCCTTCTCAAACATTTAAGTGAAATACAGCAGAACAGTAAATCTCACCTTTGCAGATAAACCCCATTCCTCTATTTCCCAATAACCTGAATCATGCTGCATCATTTATTGCCTGCAATTTCCTTTCCCTGAAGTATTATAAAGCTTTCAGAAAACTATACATTCATAAAAACTGGAATGGAAAGTCATTTGTTTTAATCAACCTGCAGGAACTGAAGGAATCTTTTCAGTTTATTCCATTTTCATAACCGCATTTTTTTTCCCTTGACATCAATAAAGGGACAAAAATAAACCTTTATATTCAATTATTGTCTTATGTGCACCTAGGCGATTGAACAGTTTGGCAAGAATGATGGCTCCTTAATTAATTAAAAGTCAGTGGCATGAGTCACTTGATGCAAAACCCAAAGCATACTAAATCATAGCTGGTTTTATAATTTATACATATAATTTATGGTGTTAAAAAATCATAGATTGTGTAAAAATAACAACAGAAACAATTACTCTAACAAGTGCCTTTTTATCCAGGATTTCCTAATGAAAACAATTTAGGAATAACTCATAGCTTTTATGTTAACTCAGATCTCAGGTATACAAGGCCGATTCATTCCCCACATAACTCAAGTGACTTTAGCTGGATCTGACCAGTTATTTTTGCATAGTGTTTTGATACTTAAAAGCACGTGAAATTTTCACCAGAACTAGGCAAACCAGCAAGTTTATTCCAGACCACAACCATTCCCTGCTTGTACATGTCATTATGGGTGCATGGTCATAAAAAAATCATGCTACAGATTATCCCATTTGATAGCTGCAAGGCTCCCTTGTACCTGCTTCTGGTTTTGATCTCTGACTTGATTTAGCTTGTGGCAGTGACCTGAAACCTGTGTTGACATTAGCTCTGCAGGAAGTTTTTAATCCGAACATGATTTTGAGATAGATATGCATCACTGTACCCATAAATCTTTCCATCCACCACGGAAAGTTTCAGAAGGCTAACATTTTCGCAAGCTACAGCAGCTCGATACTTGCCCTGCTGACACACCGGTGGCCTTTGCAAAGCAGGTATTGCGACAGCAGTCGCCTATCAGGCCATGATCTAAAAAGGGACTTTAATCTTCACAATGCTAATCATTATGACTTTCTACTGTTTTTTAAAAAAGGCCACTGCTGACTGCACAGAGGTGATATGAGCACCTGCAATACCTCCTGGTCAACAGCAGAGAGAGCTCATAGAAGGAGAAAGTTAATCACAGGGTGATGGATCATCACCACCCGCTGTAGGGGTATGACAGCAGGACACATACTCCTCTAAAATATCTCCTATTGGTTGCTGATAGAGACACAGTATGAGATAAAGCAGTGTAGTAACTGAATAAACACGGTAGGGCAGCTCTATAACAGCCGTCAGGCACCTAGTTGCTTTGGGGAATTAATTCACAATGGCTAACTTGTATTCCTAGTATCATGCATGGAGACTAATGGAGCTGCCTCCAAGAGGGATTCACAGTACTGTTAACCTCCCTGGGACACCCACGTCTCACTCCCAGCCCCAAACAGGTACCACCCTACATCATCCCCTGGAATCATCTCTTCAGAGAATGTTAGGGGTTGGAAGGGACCTCTGGAGATCATTCAGTCCAACCCCCCTGCTAAAGCAGGTTCACCTAGAGCAGGTTGCACAGGACTGCATCCAGACAGGTTTTGAATATCTCCAAGGAAGGAGACTCCACTCTCTTGAGGGGTTAAAAAAAAAAAAAAAAAAAAAAAAGCAGGTGCAACCGCTTTTCGTCAAAGGTACCTACAAGGCGGGTAATGTCCTGCTCTCACTGCAACAGCAACCAGGCATGAAGAAAGCACAATTTCACTTTCTTTTGCTATTTGTGCTTCTTGAATTCCTATCTTTCATCTTGCAGGAGAATGTCATAACCATCAGGCAACAGGCTATTCTGGGCTGAGGAATGGAGGGCATTCGGACTGTCTCTCATGGAAGCTGTTCTTCACGGGTTATTGAAACACTCATCAACAGAGGAAGAAAGTGTGCAAAAGAGAGCGTAGCTCACACATAGTGTTTAAGGTATGCTTTTGTTTTTCAGACAATTTTTTGGTGAACTGCTGGGACAGCCATTAACCTGCGTAACACAGAGATACATAGATTTACAGATCCCTGCAGGACTAAAGTTTAAAATAAGAGCTTAACTGCTCCCTGTGGGGATTGGTACTGGAAATACCTTGAAACAGAACACTGGGCACACGGGCTACCTTTTTGTCAAATACCGAGGGGACCTGCAGACATTAGCCACTCTGAGACTAAAAAATCTTCCAGGATTGCAATTTTTTGTGATCTACTTTCATCTTGTGACACAGATTTTCGTTATTTTTCTGCTAGCTCTAATCTTCTCGCCTGCGGATTTACTTCGCCCCAGGTGTTACCTAGTTCTACCCAGAGTTTGCAAGCCTGACCAATTGATTGCATTCTATAAACCCTAACTCTCCATGGGACAAGGTAATCACCCTGTCGTCTGTCCTAATTACCCACACAGAAAGTGTGAAATCGTGCCTGTCCAGACTCTGAAATGGTGCCTGTTCAGGCTCCTACTTCGCAACTGCATGGGACTGCATTTTAAAAAGGGATTTCTAATTTGTCTCGACACCCCAAATTAAGGGCCACACTTGAAAACCTAATTACTGAGTGTAAATTCTGTTTCAGCATTAGCTGGAGTGTGAAGACGGATCATGATCTTTCCCGTAGCCCACAAATGACAAATCCTCAAGGTCACACTTGCTTTTGGGGTGGCCGTTTCACTGTATGGTGCCAGGAGATGGACCACCACAACTCTGTTGCAAGTCACCAGCTCTTGCTACTGGGGCATGGTACAGTACCTATCCAACACCTGCACGAAATTAGTAACAGCTCAGTTTTACTGTGTATCCCTCATCTAGTCTTGCTAAAATCCTGATTGTGTTTCTAGGGCCAGCAGCTGTGGCTGGCAGGCACGTACTGTCGACCAGTACCATAGGAATTGACGCTAAGTGGCCACCTGGGACTGCGGTCCCAGCCCATGTCACGTTCAAGGGATGTCGGATTTATCCCCCTTTGCTGCCAACCATTGGTGTCCACCCAGCCATTCCCAATTACAGGAACTGTCTACAAAGGCTGCAAGGGTGGGGGGTACAGGCGATTCTCCTTGGCGAAGAAAAGCCAAGAAAATCAAGTTTGTTTAGTGAAAAGCATTGTCTTTTTCCTTAATGGGGTTGGAGTTTCATTTCCTTTAGTTATGTCCCACTGGGTGAGGTTAAAATGGCTCTTAAGGGAAACAGTCTGACAGAGATGCTGAAACAATATGTTGTCACCGCCCAGGTCAGAACCAGAGAATAATAGGTTATTTTTACTGTATCACTTAGTGGGGATGGTATCCGAGATCTAAGTCCATCTGATTCCCCCAAGGAAATATATTGTAAGAAAATGCTCTTACAATCACATAGTCCAAAAGGAGCAATCCAAGTCTGAGGCATATGTCTGCCTCGCGGAGACACATGTCTGTCTTCCAGAAGCCACATCTGCCTGTGAGAGTACCCCCTCCAGGAAGCTTCAGATGGCCCTAGGAAGCTCTGGCTTCATCTGATGAACTTAATACGGATAAATAAAAAGCAGCAGTCAATCCTGCCATTTACAATGTGCTACCAGGCTGAGTCCAGCCAAACAGCTAGAGCCTAATCTGAAAGCAAGGAGAGAAAGGATCCAGACTGGGCCAGTCGCAGGATCTGCTCTCACATACAGCTGCACAAATCCTAACTAACCGAGGATGAAGTTATCAATTGTCAAATTGATGCTGGTAAAATGTGGAAAAACAGAACAAGGGAGAAAGCATAGGTGCTTTGCGCTTCTCAAGCATCTGCTTCCTGGTACAGCCAGGAGCACCTCAACAGCTCCTCTCCTTACACAGGAGAATCATGCGACTGTCCCTTGTACCTGGTGCACAAATTTCCTCATGTGAAATTCCCCTGCAATAACCCAAGCTCTCTTGCTGCCCCCCGTGACTGATTAGTTGGTGCACAGCTGAAAATACCAAAAGATTAGCCATAAGCAGAGTGCTTTTGCAGCCAACCCAGCTTGGGCCATCTACTGTGCTACAGCTATCACATCTTTGCACGTACAGCCTGCACCTCAGATAACCCATACCCTTTAAAAAATACTGGCATTGAAATGTAATCCTTCATAACATGCAAAAAATGAGGGGTAGGGGAAGGGGGAGGCACTGGGCAGAGGGATCAGACGATGAGAGATGCAGATGAGGAAGGCCACCAGCGTGGACAGGACCTGCTGGTTGTCAGAACAGACACAACTCCTATTACTGCTGAACTACTGACTTTTTTTAACAGATAACCCATGGATTACACATCTGAAAATACACTGTTCAATTTCTGCTTTGGGACTACAGTAACAATCCGCTCCAAGCTTTTTATAGCCAGAGACAGGTGACCAACACAGGGCAACACCTTCCAGGAGAAGCCATAAGGATAAATCTATCGTGGATGCTACTTCACTTAACATCCTTTAAAAATCAAGTCTTCAAAACAATGGTTTTCCAAATGCTGATGGGAACACAAAAATCAAAGTCTGCCTGTACACA